CACCTCTGCCACCGTCATCACTGCCACCGTTACCTCTGCCACCGTCACCTCTGCCAACGTCACCTCTGCCACCGTCACCTCTGCCACCGTCACCTCTGCCACCGTCACCTCTGCCACCGTCACCTTCGCCGCCGTGACCTCCGCCACCTTCCTGTCACCGTCACATCCACTGCCTCACTTCCATTCCCGATGCAGTCACCGCAGGGACCGCAACCTCGTTCCGTACCGCGATGATGCTGTCACGTTGCTCCCTCTTCTGCTCTGGTGATATTCTTAGAAAAGCAACCCTGGTCCTTGAGCGCGTTGCCGGCTGAACTTTCACTGAAGTTGGTGGAAATTTCAGTGCCTTGTACACGCGGACGGCGTTTCGAAGAAACAACTATGCGAACTGATTTCTCTGTGTACGGCAAAACAGTGGTGAGGTTCGAAATTGGCAATGTACTCTTAATGGATATTTGTTTGCTTACAATATTTTACCTTATTTCACATCCGTGAGCTACTATTTTTTTCTGATTCATATCATCGATACGCGTTTCTAATCATTTCTCATTCTATTTATTTTGTTGGCTCGTGGAGTTTGTTCCACGAATCAGTTGGCAGAATGTGACCCAAGCTTCTTAGAATTCTGACATTCTATTAGTTTATTCTGAGTGGGCCTCACCAACTTCACCAGAATTATCGTGTTCTTTATTTTTCCTGTATGCATTTTCAAAATTGCAAATGTTTGGTTGTGACATGTAGCATTTAAACGAAAATAAATTCTAGGGCAACATTTGTTGTTGAGTTACACGATTATAAATTTATATATAGAAATGTCAAGGTTTTCAAAGCGAGGTTTATGACAGGTCTTTTCTGGCTTGCATTCCGACTATCCCAACCGCTGTGCCTTTCAAAGTTTTTTTGTAATTCATAGTTTCCTTCATTTCACATCAACTGTCAGAAGCACTTCAATGCAAATAGTATTATGCTAAACGGTTATATTTTCTTTCGATTTCTTTGCTCAGATGTAATGTCAGCCATTGTGGGTATGCAGTCTAAGGTTCCTGTGACGCCTGTCAGCTTCATTTGCGGTTCAGCTGATTTCGGGATAACGAAAGACAGATATTCTGGTTAAAAACAGTTTCAACCGCAAGTTTGAAAGGCAAGTCCACTTGAACAAATAGAATAAGCCTCGATTACATCAGTAACGTATACAACAGCGTGAGTTGTTCATCCGAACTGGTTTTGATTACATTTGTTACGTCATTCTTTTTTGCTTTTAGGGCATTTTTACAACCTTTTAAGAGCACTTTCTTGATCATTTTTCGTGATGTATTAAGCCACCGTAATCCGCTCCCTATTATTTACTACATTGTGGATGTTATCTTGATTCGAAGACCAAAATACCTTAATATTTTATTTTCAGAACATCTGCTTGAAACCTAGTTCTCACCTCCTGTTTATTGTTGGGAAAACTGTTACTTCGCAGTACGGGTACCGCAAAGGCATGGCCGTACAACGTAATAAACCAAATATTGTGGCGATTGGAGTCATAAAGTCTGGCACCTCCCATATTAATAATGTCGCCAAGAGTGTATAAGTTTACATGCATTTATATTTAAAAATAATGTACGTTACTCATACGAAAATGTCTTCAGCACTCTCATTGCAAAATGCCGGACCTGGCCCCTGATCGTCCTTGCCTCCTCCGTCGTCATTTCATTCGTTCGCCAAAGATTCTCTTTCCATTCCAATTACGTCATCCGCATGCCTTGAGAGGAAGCGCATTGAGATGGTTGCTCGTCGCGTGGCGTCGCGTGGCTGCTGGGTTGAGAAGCGCCCTCCGGCGCGGCGAGGGCGGTCCGCCCCGCCGAGGTAGCGTGCGTTTTGCATTCCCTTTCGCCGCGCATTGACCGCTCGACGGATGCGCCCGGGGCGAAACTGGGCTCTGGACGGCCTGGCAGGCAGGCGTGTGCCGAGGGCGAAGCCGTGTGGGGCAGCGATGGGCACGGTTGTGAGGAGAATAGGTGGAGTGAATAAGGTGGAGCGTGGGCGGATGATAACGGGTGGATGTGGGCGAAAGTACATTGATCAGTGATGGAGTGGAACAGCCTGAGCAAGGCTGGAACGTAGCTGTTGAACGTTCGGGAATGGCGGGGTTTATAGTTAGGTAATGGGTGGTCGGATTGGTTTCAGCTAACTCTGATTGGGATGGGATGGTTTTGGCAGGACTGGAATGGTCGTCACTGGTTTTGGGCGGAATTTAATTGTGCAGGATCGGATTGGGCTGGGCCGGTTTATGCTCAACTGAGCTGGCCCGCACTAGATTGTGTTGGGCTGCTTTTTACTGAACTGCATTGGACTGAGCAGGAATGGGATGGGCTGAATTGAGTTGGGCTCCGCCGAGCTGAAATTGACGGGGCTCACTAAGACACGGGTTGAATACAAAAGTGCTCAATGAAACAGCATCTCCTAAATAAAATGGTCACTCTGTATTTTCTAATCCAATCTTCTCTCAAAAATTGTAAACAATTATTAGTACAAATTGGTAATCATATATTTTATGTGGATTATACGATGTTTCTGATTCTATTATCTTCACAACTCGCTCGAATTTTGGAATTCATGTGGTGTATTTCAGGATTATATAGCAGATTACAACTGTGATAAAGGTGATGCGGTTTTTAGCTCTGCTGTACGCAGGGTGGGGCGGTTGCGAGCAGGACGAAGCAGAACCAAGCTCGGCGGGTGGCCGAAGCGCAGGGGCAGGGATGAGCAACGCAGAGAAGGCGTAGCGAAGCGATATATTGATTTATTTATTTAGTGATCCCGCGCACGTCAACAAAGCAACGTATTTTGTCCCGTAAGTGTAGTGTGTGTTTTTCTTGGGCTCTGGCGGTGATCTTTCCCTGACTGTATGGCGAGACCCGGCGCCGAACTACCGCGGCTATCCATATCCCTCCAGCGGGGCACCTCCCCCACAGGCCGCCCGGCATGTGTTCTTGTGTAGTGCGTGTTAGTGCAAGCGTGTGTGTAAGGGGACAGGAGAAGACAAGGAAGAGGTAGAAATGATCGCAAGCGGTCCGAAGCCCTTTTGGTAGAGTACTGCTCCGGCTTTCGTCTGGAGTTGAATGGAACCACTGAAAACCGATCTGATCAAAGCAGCCGATCCGATCAAAGCAGCCGTCTGCTAGAATTCTCCTCCATACAGTGACTCGCTGACAAGCTAGTGTCAAAATTCGTGCCACCGTCGGGACTCGAACTTTGGACTTCAAAGTCATAGGTACAACAGTGGCATCAGTTGACGTCTTGTAGATGTTAGAAGTGACAGGCCGGTGAAGTGTACTTTATTATTTTACTGCGCAGGAGAATCAGAAGAGGTGGAATAAAAAGAGATCTTAAGGACAAAATTAAGAGGAAAGAAACGTGATTTTCCGCCGGTCGCAACGAAAAGATTGTTGAACACTTCCCGAAGTACGGCGTCAATAGGGTCAAGTCGATGTAGTAATTAAATATTCCTTAGAGTAAAAGATTAAGAAATTTTGGGACGAATAATTTTTTTTCGTGGTTTGAAAATTACGATGGATTCCAGTGTTTTCGTTAATAAAATCCGATCTATCATTATAAAGATTTGATGTTTGAAAATAATTCATTTAAAAGAGTGTGAGAAATATTGTCGGCAAATAATAAATGTAGGTGAGAGAGAATGTATCGCAAACGGATGTGAAATGCAAATGCAATTTGCATTGTGCTAGGAAACGTCTGGCCAAAAAAAAAGTAACTGGGGGTAGCTCTAGGGAATACAAAAAACTAAGAAGAGGTAGAGACAACCCTCTTGCAAGCATAATAATATCCAAAATTAAATGGCTTGCTTTTTACGAGCAGTTCCTTACTGCGCAATTTTTAACTCACATGATAAAATTATAGTGTATTTTATTTCTAGACGACGATCCATAATGCATTGCATATGGAGAGAGATCTGCGTCATTTCTTACTTCTTTTGTACATTTGGCTGAAAAAGAAAGGAAGTTACCAAAGTTTTGAAACAACGTCTCTCGCCATTTGTTCTAAACAGTTCTTCCCCGTTGAAACCTATATCGTCCAAAGAGAGCACCATAGAAAAACGTTGAAAATAATGTAAATTATATTCCTCTGAAGTTAAGGCTAGATAATTCACCGCGAATTAGAAAAAGACGAAAATGTTCCATCTACGTAGTTTGTAAATTGTGAAGAAGTAATTTTGTTGATTTCTCAAATAATGAATCTTACGGTTTTAATGAATGTCATCTTTGTGATATCGAAATATATAGATTATAAGATAAAATACTAAAGTATCTGCCTTATAGATATCTCTATTGAAACGTAACTTCACGACCAGTCCATTCAATAGTTTTTTAATACCTGTGACATTGATAATATCTTTAAACAATGTTAAACGTTCGTGTATTTGAAAGGAATGTTTTTGTCTAAAAAGCTACGTTCATTGCCAGTCTTTACAAATACTGCATTTAGAATCACTAGATTATCTTGATACTTTATATTACCACTTCTGTACTTAATTTGTATTCGTCTAATATGTGACGATATATTTTCAAGAAATCGAAATATATTTTCATAATTATTACTGTGCTTTTGAGCAATTTCCAACTTCGGATTATCATGACCAGTGTGACCAGAATGATGCTGGCTTGTCCTGCATCAACGGCGTCATATGAATCTTTCCTAAATTCCATTGATCTCGTGAGATTATAAAATTACTATACTTGAGCCCGAAATTGGAAGTTCGTCCACCTCTGCGGTAAGCAGAGGCCTTCCCTGGGCGCACGGCTTCAGGCGCCGAGGAGGCCGCCGACCCGAATCATCTCCCTCGCACGAATTTCCTTTGGCTCGCGCTCACCGCACGCAGCCTCCTTTAGAAGTCTCTTTGTTTCTGGGCTTTCTTTTGCCGGCCGCGCGCCTCGTTTCCTGGGAGGTCTTAGCCCCGTGAAAATACTCTTGTTTTCATCCGGCGCCTGGCTTATCTATGCCTTCTCGGGGCCGCTTTGTGTGTTGTTCCTCTCGGCATTCGGCGGGCCCGCTGAAATGCGTGCGCGTAGTGTGAGCAGGCCTGTGCCTTTTGCTTTACCGGCGCCGCGCCGCCGTCGCCCGCGGACAGCACAGGAGGAGAGGAGATGTAAACAGGACGCGCGTGGGAGGCCACCGCACGGGGCGGCGGCGGTGCCCCTTTCGTTCTCGCACGTTCTCTCGCCGGAGGCGCAATTTGCATGTTGAGTTTGATGAAGCGGAGGTGAATGCGTCGGGTGAATGACTGAATGGGACGTATTCACAGCTGCAAATTTCATTGACTCCTGTGTATGTGTGTGTGTGTGTGTGTGTGTGTGTGTGCGCGCGTGAGGGCTAGAGGCGAGAAAGGGGAAGGAGGAAAAAAGGCTGGTAAGATAAAGAAAGAGATGAAACAAGAAGAAAGATAAAATAATAAATAGGGAGATGAACATAAAAAAGAGTTGATAAGAAGAGGAAGGATGTTAAAAAGAGTAATGATTGAAAACAAGAAGAGAGGAGATAAAAAAGAGGAAGGGAGGTGAAAGAGTGGAAGGGAAATAAAAGAGAGGAAGGGAGATAAAAAAGGGGAAGGGAGATAAAAAAAGAGGAAGGGAGATAAAAAAGAGGAAGGGAGATAAAAAAGAGGAAGAGAGATAAAAAAGAGGAAGGGAGATAAAAGAGAGGAAGGGAGATAAAAAAGAAGAAGCGAGATAAAAAAGAAAAGCGAGATAAAAAGAAAAGCGAGATAAAAAAGAAAAGCGAGATAAAAAAGAAAAGCGAGATAAAAAAGAAGAAGCGAGATAAAAAAAAAGAAGAAGCGAGAAAAAAAAAAGAGGAAGAGGGATGAAAAAAGAGGAAGGGAGATAAAAAAGAGGAAGGGAGATTACAAAGAAAGACATATAAAAAGGATGAAAAAGAAATAAGGGTGACATAAAAATAGATGAAGAGGGATAAGAAGGGGAAGAAAGGAAAGGAAAATTTTTACGTGCGCAGATGACAGATGTCAATCACAGATGACAGAAGAACCTCTGCCGTCACGTGGCGCCAGCCGTTGCTTCCTATTCTTTAGCTTGCCGGCTTTGTTTGTGTATGAAAAGAGGAGGAGCTACTAAGACTACGCAACGAGCATGTGTATACATTTCAAAAAAAAATTGCTATGTAGAGACGCGTTTTTCGATTATCTCCTTATTGTAGGAACCATGTAGTATGATATGTGAATAAATGGTGCGTAATTAAAGTGCCCCGATATTTATTTATTAGTAGAGAGTGACGTATGTGCTAAATGACTGCTCATTCATATTTTCAATTTTTTTCTCCGGCCTAGTTACTTCTGCCCCTGTCTTTGCAGCGAGTTTGGCCGGAAGGTCCTAGGATTCGAATCTCGACGACGAAATTTTCGACATTAGCTGTGTGGCTGTATGGAGTTCAGCCGCTACCTGGAAAATAATTGTAACCGCCGGCCAGGCATTGATGGAAGGAACTGCTGTAGTTTCTCCCAATACCGTCATTGTATAATTTGCGTGATTTACTAGATTGCCATTTAATATATTCTTATTTCTCGTTGCGATGTTTTTATGAAACTTCAGGGAAAAGGGATTGGACATTCTAACTGAACTTGCTCGTTTTTGAAACGAAAATTATATTATAAGAGAAAATATAATGAAACACTCAAAAAGGCCTAAGAAATCAATTACTTTACTTTGATATAGAGAACTAAATTAAATGAATTATATTTTGTTACTACTTGATCCAAAATATGTAGGAAACGTATTTATTTTTGAAAGTTTTAAGAAGTACATATTGTACATACAAAACTAATTTGGTACACACTAATATGTTCATGTTAACCACATTGGAACTCTCCTTCGCTGAGAGGCATACACAGTATTGTTTAGCAAATGTGTATCTCATTAATGTATCATAAAACTGAATTAAAACGAGAGAAAAAATTCTTATATGGGGTATAATACATAGTTTCATTTTTTGTACTTCGTAATTTGACTTCTAAAATCCAGAAGAGTCTGCAATCTGTAGCCGATATTTTAAGAATTTGGCAAGGGTGGTAACTGCTATCTGAAAGTATAGTGAAACCTCAGAATTTGTTTTGAGAGTTCATTTATATAATAGACCCGTTGAAATCTATTTTGTGCCATCTCAACAAACGGGTTTTTTAACTACCCGTCGTGCGACAGAAGCCAGGCCAACAAACACTGTTTATTGTACCAATCGCCGTCTTTCCGCCTTCAGCCTTTATTTGTTTTGCACGGTTTTGTGAAAAGGTAATATAAGAGTTGATTGAAGATCCGTGATAAACAGACTCTGCCTTGCACTGTTGTAGTTAGTTTTTGTTAGGACCTGTGTCATAGGAAAAATAAAACAATTTACGCTGAACATTTTTTCTGTTAAAAAAGTGTCTATTTATATGGAAAATAGCTGTCCTATATGCAAAATATGTTATTCGCAAATAGTAAGTTATCTTGTTTGTGTTGAATATTTGTTTCACTTCCAAAACTAACTTTCTGGGATTACGCAAGGTTATCTGCCACATTATACGAAAAAAATTTTAATAAAAGAAATGTCGCTTTTATTTTCAACGGCTTGGCAAACTCGAATAATATATCAGCCTCTCGTTCTAACCTAATTTAGTAGTTTTTCAAAAAAAAAAAAAATTCTGGAATAGTAAGTTGTGATAATGACCAAGCAACCAGGATTTTATGTAGTAAAATAATAATGGATTAATAGTAATGATGGCGATATAGTGATTAACGAAACGATTGTATAAAGAGGGGGATAATTCCTTGAATGGTATGTTCTAGAAAACTAGCGACGATAGGAGCGTGTTTTCATATATTGAACATTTTGCGGATAAAATATTAGCAGAAGATGACAAAATCATGAAAACATTACTTCGAAAAGTAAAGACAGGTATGAGAGAAAATACATGTGTACATTGGGGGAGGGACTAATCACTTCTGATACAGTTTTGTTAGATCGTACATTTTAGAACTGGTTAACACAAATGACGTTTACATTTTGTACATTCGTAATCGTCAGACCCAATGTTTTACACATGTAAAACTTTTAATATATTCACGTTAAATAGTTTATGTAGTTTCATAAGTCAGCTAGCTTAACGTTTAATTCTCCACTTTAGTTTTATTTATTCGTTGTTTATATGTAAATGTAGGTACGTAATTTATGATGTACTTTTTTATTCATGTTTCATGACCGACTGCAAATACCTTGGGTACGTGTGGTATAGTTTGTTAATTATACGATTTGTCTGATTTTCTGCATTATGATTGGCAGGTGAGTAGTTTTAATTGCACAGCTGAATTTGAATTGCCCGCGTGCTATAATAATAATAATAATAATAATAATAATAATAATAATAATAATAATAATAACAGTATTGAAAATCACTGTAATATTGATCATACAATATATATAGAAGGCAAAACCGTTGGCAATTTCAAAAACTGCGCGATAGCTCATGAGTGTAAAATTAATATGAATTTACTGTGGGATTTTAATAAATACTTTTGTTCGTATCCATTCTCAGTGATTTTTTAATATACTTATTAATTTTCGTTTTCAATAAGTCAATTATTTACTTTCTTGGAGCAATGAAAGCAAGTTGATGCAGACTTTTAAATAATGTCCAGGACTTCAATTTTCTGCGCTTGACCAGTCAAAAAAGCCCAGCGACTTCCACGAATATCGAACGTGGGCGGAGCCAGTTTGCGGTGACGGAGCGCGGCAACGCGACGCCAGTGCCCTTCGGTGGGGCACAGACGGCCCGGCGCATTGGAGCGGTATTGCTCGACCGGCGGCGGCGGCGGCGTCGTCAGTGGCGTCTTCGCGCTCAAGACGGGCTCGCCTCCCGGCGGCGACGTTCCATTTGTCTCTTTAAGTCGCGCGACGCCCCTCGTTTGTCTTTCGAGTTCCCGCGCCGCCCGCCCGCCCGCCCGCCCGCCGCCGCCCGCCGCGCCGCGCCCGCCCGCCCGCCCGCCGCGCCGCGCCCCGCGCCGCGCGCCGCGCCCGCGCCCGCGCCCGCGGCCGCGCCCGCGCGCCCGCGCTCCGCGCCGCGCCCGCGCCGCCGCCGCCCGCCGCCCGCCCGCCCGCCCCGCCCGCCCGCGCCGCCCGCCGCCCGCCGCCCGCGCCGCGCCCGCCCGCCGCCCGCCGAAACGCACCGCCCGCCGCCGCCCGCCCGCAACGGCTCCGCCCGCACCGCGGTCCGCTGCCCGCCCGGACGCCGCCGACTGCCCGACACACCACCCCCACCCACCCACCCACCCCGCATACCGCCGCAAACGGCCCGCCAAATGGCCCGCCCGCCCCGACCACCGACCCACCCAAAACCCACCCAAACCCACCCAATGACTACACAATGCCCGCCCTGCCCACGCCACCCACTACCCACCCACCCACCCACCGCACCGCACCCGCCCGCCCTATAGCCGCCCCGACGGCCCGCCCGCCCGCCGACGGGCCCGCCCGCCCGCCCGCCCGCCGCCGCCCGCCGCCCGCCCGCCCGCCCGAACGCCCGCCCGCACGCCCGCCCGAAGCCGCCCGCCCGCCCGCCGAACTGAGCCCGCCTCCGCCCGCACCGGGCGGTCCGCCTGCCCGCCCGTCAGCCGCCGCCGCTCCCGACTGCCCGCCCGACTGCCCCGACCACGCACCCACCCACCCACCGCACCGCACCCACCGCCCGCCCAAACGGCCCGCCAAATGGCCCGCCCGCCGACCACCCACGCCACCCAAACCCCACTCCGTAATGAACTACCACTGGCCCGCCTGCCGCACCCAACCAACCCACCCACCGCACCTACCCACCCACCCACGCGCAACCCACCCAAACAGACCCACCCACGCCACCCACCCACCCACCCCGCCCACCCACACCGCCGCCCGCCGCACGCCGCTCGCCCCGCCCGCCCGCCGCGCCCGCCCGCCGCGCCCGCCGCCCGCCCGCGTCGCCGCCCCGCCCGCCCGCCCGCCCGCCGCCCGAACGCCCGCCCGCCCGCCCGCCCGCCCGCCCGCCCGCCCGAACCGACCGACCGAACCGACCGACCGACCGACCGACCGACGACCGACGACCGACCGACCGACCGACCGACCAGCCCACCGACGCGCCCGACCACCGCCCGGACCGACCGCCCGACCGACCGCCCGACCGGCAACCCGACAACAAGCCACCCACCCACCCACTCGCCCCGCCCGCCGCGCCCGCCCGCCGCGCACCGCCCGCCCGCTCACCCACTCCGCCCGCCCCGCCCGCACGCCGAAGCGAGGGCGAAGCCTCAATCTCAAACGCGCTGCCTTTGCTGCGGTCCGCATGAGATAGCTCGGTGCCACAACTGTTGTCACTACAGTGTCTGTGACCGGAGGTCCTCAGGTAAGAGTCCCGACTGCGGTAGGATTTTCTAGAGAGAGAGAGCAAGACTGATATGTCAAATTTCCCTACTGCCTTTAGAAGAATTCTAGCGGTTGACTACTCTGTTCGATAGTTTACGGTTTTTTTTTTCAATCACTTCCAGGAGTATTCCACAGCAAAAGCTTAACAGCCGGGCACAAGAAAGTGGCATGAAATTGGGAAATCGCGGGAGGTGATAACAACTTGATTGTTGTTTTTTTAGGTGCGTTACAAATTTCCAACGCAAATTCTTCCAGCAGTCTGTCCTAACTTTGTTTTCCTTTGTTCTCCACAGTTTACATATTAATATATGACGAACTCTACGGGACAGGAGCGTTCAAATTAGCTTCCTCGCTTTCTGAAGCCAAAAGAAAGTCAGGCACCACTGAGAGAGCTACATATGTCTTGTTTATGCATTCGTCAGTGTGGCTTACAAATTCCAGCTATTGTAATTGTTGTATTTACGTTGTGTATGGAAAGGCATGGACGTAATTCCTGATGGTGTTTATTGACAACCGCTTTTAATGGAGTGTCGACTTGAACGTTACGAGATAGACTAGAAATGAACACTTCTAGAAATCAATAAATTTAAAACTCAAGTCGTAATATGTAAATGAACTTGCCAGCCGCAAAATATTGTAAGCCTCGCTCATATATACTCCTTATCCCGGCACAGCCATCAGCATTTTGACACTGATGTTGGGATGTGCCGAGTGTCGCGAAATTCTCCACTACATGGAAGATGCAAGAAGAAAATTCGAAACATCGATAGATGAGAGTTATCGAAGTTCGAGCTTTTGATATTCAAGCTTTCCCACATCGAGCTTTCGAAGATCGAACTTTCGAAGATGGAGCATTCGAAGATGGAGCTTTCGAAGATG